CCCTTCAGTCCGCAGAACATCTGCTCACATTCCCAACATGTCTTCATCATCGTTCGAGTCCACCGCCCCTGCAGCCAGCACACCTGTTACAGGTAGGATTGTAACTAGAGCAGGTGAGATTATAACGTGAGCAGGTAGAACAGTTGAGACCTGTTGATGTGTCATTTGTGTCCTGTTAGTATTGCAGTGTCCAGGCGTAGAGACATCCCGTTCTTTGGTCCCTTGATCCCACCAGGTTGGATGTTTTCAGCCTCACCTGAATTCAGAAATTTCCTGCTGACGAAGATCATTAATGCCGAAAACGCTGCGCACAGGTCAGAGACCTTTGTCACAATAAGAGCACGACACAGACAGGAGCACCTGAAGGAGCTGGTGGAAAGCTTTTCCACATCAGTGCTAGTGGACTCATCATCTTCCATCAAGTTCAGCTTCATCTCTCTGGTAGTAAAGAAAAAAGAGCGCAGCGCACCACGGCCTCATGCTTACCTGAACACTGCCGGGGCTCTCACCTGGAGTGTGACAGCAAAAGACTTCAGCTGCTCTTTTGATGTACCATGCCAGCTTGCCATCTCCAGTGAGTTTGTGGTGCTTGTAGAGGAAGCCAGCAGACAGGTAGTGTTTCACTGTTACTGCAGAGACGTGATTGGCTGGAACGCCGGCCACAAAGGCATTAAACTTTTCTACGAACACGGAGACTGTGTGATGCTGTCGACACGAGAGAGAGGCTGGGAGGACAGCCGCGAGATCGCCCAGAGACTGCAGGTGACCAGAATCCTTTGTGAACCTGAATCTGAGCATGTGTCATACACAAGACTGATCTGATGTTATCTGTTTTCTGACCTCAGCTGGTGACTCATGGCGGTCCTGCTGTGGACATGATTCTGAGGAGGAACCGTCACGGTCAGCTTGGGTTTCACGTGAACTTTGAAGGAGTGGTGGCGGATGTTGAGACCAACAGTTTTGCGTGGAAGGAGGGTCTCCGGCCCGGCTGTAGGATAATGGAGATCTGTGCGGTCGCCATAGTAACGCTATCACATAAGCAGATGATTGAGCTGCTGAGGACATCGATGACCGTGAGCGTGGTCGTTATTCTGCCGCACAGAGATGGGACACCGCGCAGGTCACGTGATGGTTTATTTGAACTTTATTTTAATGGTTAGAAGAAAATATAAATATATGAAACGTAAATGCCGAATAGAAATGTTTGAGAGATTTTTAGTGTTTCAATCTGTTTATAGTTCTGTTTCGCTTATGTGGTAAAAGTCAACAGGTAGGCTGCTGCTCACTGTGGCTGATAACATCGGTAAAAATAGTTTAATCTTCATATCTAAACTCTCAGGATGTCAGGACTTCCTGTGCCATCATTAAATGTTTCCTGAGTTCTGTGCCACATATGGAGGATGGATTATGAGCTGTAATCCTCTCACTTTAATCTCACTGTGTGAGTTTGACAGCACACCTGTAAGTCAGGTTTCAGGGTCAAACATAATCCGATGCCAGGGCCACGCCATCACGTGTCCAGAATCCCAGGAGATCTGAGCCTGAATCAGGTTTGCATGATCCTTTGGGCTCTGACTGACACCTAGCAGTGCATAAAGAGGCTTTGACCGTTGTGAGGACAAGCTCACGTCACGCTGACCACCTCATGACATCCCTGCAGCACGTTTGATGTGGCTTCAGACCAGAAATCAGTTAATCAGCTGTGCTTGGGGAAAAAAGATCCACCAGATGAATAATTTATTTTCTCTGAAAAACCGAACAGGCAAATCATATATAAGGCAAAATAAAAGAGCTCAGCCGGCCTCCTTCAGTGCATTTACAGTCAGTAAACTCGCTCAGGGATACAAAACGGCCTGAATTAGTAATAAGCTGCAGCTTTGAGGTCATTTCCTCAGAGTGAAGATTATCAGAGCAGAAAACCTGAGGATAACGTGTGGAGTACGCTGTTAACAGGAACACAGGAACCCGCCTCATAAACGCTCCTTACAGTTCGACTATAATAAGTAAAAATAAGGAGCAGATAAACTACACCAACCAATCAGCAGCCAGTAAATCTGAGCATAGCAGAGGGAAAGCCTGTGGAGGCATTTTTGTTGAGTTTTACATCAGCAGTGATTGGTTTAAAGTGACGGAGCACGAGGAGTGACATCAGTCGGTACAGACTAGGACTCTGTAAACGATCACTCACACTCTCTCACTCACTCGCTCTCCTCTCTTTGTTCTTCGGTCTTCAGGAGTTTCTCAGAAATCTACCAAGTCCCGAGGTTTGAGTACAAACTGGACTCTGACATCACTTCCTACCCATTAAGAGTAACCCCACCCACCTGGCACAAGGTGTTAGAAGCTCCGCCTACTCAGAGCATCCCAGGTGAACTGGAACAGCAGCTGAGACCAATTAAACAAATGAATGAGGGATCCAGGTAACACACCTGTACCTGTCTGTGGTTTGTGTCACAATAACCAGAGACAGTCAGACGTCCTTCCTTCCATCAGGAGCATTTTTCTCCATGTCTGAAGTTTATTTAGAACATTAATGAATCTGTTCTCGTCTTCACAGTAACTCGTGTCGGGTTTTGTTTGTGTAAAATGTTACATCATAGAGGATTATTGGCCTGATATTCTTTCACTTGCTTCTGTGTTGAAGCAGTCATGTAAGGGTTTTAGGGCTGATGTGATGATTATTGATTGATATCAGTTAGGATCATTAAGACCGTTTCTTTACCCAGAATCCCTCAGCACTCTGTCCTTCTGCAGGTCACCAAGCAAACACTCGACTTCCGTTGACCCTGGACCACCTTTGACCCCACAGAGCCATGCCCGATGGGGGTAATCTAATTATTGATCCATTAGCGATCTATGTTTTCTTTTAAACAAAGTAATCGGATTATCTGTTGATGTCAATCCTGCTTTCAGAGCTCGTCCTGATTGGGCAGTCAGCTCTGAAGAAGACTCACTTGAGAAGATCGGGAGATCTAAAGGTGAGTTTACCTGGATGTGACCTGGTTTGGCTCTGCAGCTCTGAGCTTTGACATTTAACCCTTTGAACTTTAACAACAACCTGGAACATCTTCATCTTCTCCTCCAGAGGCCAGTCACCTTTGTCATCATGATCATCCTCATCGTGTGACGAAGGCTCGGGGGGGTTTTCAGCCGAGTCTGATGGATGCCAACGACACGCTTTCCAGCAGCAGCGGGAGCGAGGGCAGATACTCCGACTGTCATCTCACTCACACTAAGGTGCCTTCAATGGACAGCGGAATTGACTCCGCCCCCTGCACATCATCAGCCCAACCAGCTGTGGCTGGGGCGACGCTGGTCCTGAGCGATATCCAGAGAGGCAAATGGACAATCTCAGCCGGTCACATGACCAACCTGAGTGAGACCTGCTCTCTGTCCTGGTGAGCTGCAAGTAAACAAATGATGTCATCTCTGTGATTTTTACATAATTGTGTATTTATTTTTCATTGAGCTCCACAGCCTGAGGGCAGTCAGCCAGTTGGAGTGTTCGGATTTAACATTTGAGTAAATGTTCAGCCCATTATTTCTGGGC